CAATACACTGTGCTGAGTTAAAAGTGTGGTGCGGGAAACGTTAATAAACTGTGCTGAGTTGTGGTGCGGGGTATGTTAATACACTGTGCTGAGTTAAGTGTGGTGCAGGAAACGTCAATACACTGATGAGATAAGTGTGGTGCGGAAAACGTTAATACACTGTGCTTAGTTAAAAGTGTGGTGCGGGAGACGTTAATACACTGTGCTTAGTTAAAAGTGTGGTGCGGGAAACGTTAATAGACTGTGCTGAGTTGTGGTGCGGGAAACGTTAATAGACTGTGCTGAGTTGTGGTGCGGGAAACGTTAATACACTGTGCTGAATTAAGTGTGGTGCGGGAAACGTTAATACATTGTGCTGAGTTAAAAGTGCGGTGCGGGAAACGTTAATACACTATGCTGACTTTAGTGTGGTGCGGGAAACGTTAATAGACTGTGCTAAGTTAAAAGTGTGGTGCGGGAAACGTTAATACACTGTGCTGAGTTAAGTGTGGTGCAGGAAACGTTAATACACTATGCTTAGTTAAGTGTGGTTGAGGGAAACGTTAATACACTGTGCTTAGTTAAGTGTGGTGCGGGAAACGTCAATACACTGTGCTTAGTTAAGTGTGGTGCGGGAAACGTTAATACACTGTGCTTAGTTAAGTGTGGTTGAGGGAAACGTTAATAGACTGTGCTTAGTTAAGTGTGGTTGAGGGAAACGTTAATACACTGTGCTTTGTTAAGTGTGGTTGAGGGAAACGTTAATACACTGTGCTGAGTTAAGTGTGGTTGAGGGAAACGTTAATACACTGTGCTTAGTTAAGTGTGGTTGAGGGAAACGTTAATACACTGTGCTTTGTTAAGTGTGGTTGAGGGAAACGTTAATACACTGTGCTGAGTTAAGTGTGGTTGAGGGAAACGTTAATACACTGTGCTTAGTTAAGTGTGGTGCGGGAAACGTCAATACACTGTGCTTAGTTAAGTCTGGTGCGGGAAACGTTAATACACTGTGCTTAGTTAAGTGTGGTTGAGGGAAACGTTAATACACTGTGCTTAGTTAAGTGTGGTTGAGGGAAACGTTAATACACTGTGCTTTGTTAAGTGTGGTTGAGGGAAACGTTAAAAAACTGTGCTGAGTTAAGTGTGGTTGAGGGAAACGTTAATACACTGTGCTTAGTTAAGTGTGGTTGAGGGAAACGTTAATACACTGTGCTTAGTTAAGTGTGGTTGAGGGAAACGTTAATACACTGTGCTTAGTTAAGTGTGGTTGAGGGAAACGTTAATAGACTGTGCTTAGTTAAGTGTGGTTGAGGGAAACGTTAATACACTGTGCTTAGTTAATTGTGGTTGAGGGAAACGTTAATACACTATGCTTAGTTAAGTGTGGTTGAGGGAAACGTTAATACACTGTGCTTAGTTAAGTGTGGTTGAGGGAAACGTTAATACACTGTGCTTAGTTAAGTGTGGTGAGGGAAACGTTAATAGGCTGTGCTGGGTTGTGGTGCGGGAAACGTCAATACACTGTGCTGAGTTAAAAGTGTGGTGCGGGAAACGTTAATAAACTGTGCTGAGTTGTGGTGCGGGGTATGTTAATACACTGTGCTGAGTTAAGTGTGGTGCAGGAAACGTCAATACACTGATGAGATAAGTGTGGTGCGGAAAACGTTAATACACTGTGCTTAGTTAAAAGTGTGGTGCGGGAGACGTTAATACACTGTGCTTAGTTAAAAGTGTGGTGCGGGAAACGTTAATAGACTGTGCTGAGTTGTGGTGCGGGAAACGTTAATACACTGTGCTGAATTAAGTGTGGTGCGGGAAACGTTAATACATTGTGCTGAGTTAAAAGTGCGGTGCGGGAAACGTTAATAGACTGTGCTAAGTTAAAAGTGTGGTGCGGGAAACGTTAATACACTGTGCTGAGTTAAGTGTGGTGCAGGAAACGTCAATACACTGATAAGATAAGTGTGGTGCGGGAAACGTTAATACACTGTGCTTAGTTAAAAGTGTGGTGCGGGAAACGTTAATAGACTGTGCAGAGTTGTGGTGCGGGAAACGTTAATACACTGTGCTGAGTTAAGTGTGGTGCGGGAAACGTTAATACACTGTGCTGAGTTAAAAGTGTGGTGCGGGAAACGTTAATACACTGTGCTGAGTTGTGGTACGGGAAACGTTAATATACTGTGCTGAGTTAAGTGTGGTGCGGAAAACGTTAATACACTGTGCTGAATTAAGTGTGGTGCGGGAAACGTTAATACACTGTGCTTAGTTAAAAGTGTGGTGCGGGAAACGTCAATACACTGAGCTTAGCATGTCAATTTACTGAGCTGACCTTAGTGTGATGCGGTAAACGCTATGTATGGGGAAATCTTTCTTGGCATTAACGATCACTGTTAAAATTTTTTGTTGGGGTCGAAAAATAATAACATGGTGTTATTCAATTTTTTTAGATATGTTTAAAATTGTTGTTAAACCTTGGTAGTGTAAGTTACGCTATTTTATCTACATTTTGTTTCGGATAACACCGGAGGACAAACTGTATGACACATAGCTAGCTATATAAAGGTAGACCTTGTAACTTAGCGTCATAAATCACGCATCACTTTAATACAGTATAGAGAGTTGATAAGGCGCCTTTTCAGATCAAGCGGATATGTACCGTCAACAAATTCTCACCGATCGATAAAATGTATAGCATCTTTTGTAGAGGACTGTGTTTATTGAATAATGAGCCCACGGACGGTGATAAATAAACCTCACAAGTCTACAGGATTTTGTCCCATTAGGGAGGTGGCAACAGGCTATGTCACTTTGCTGGAATACGACACGAGCACAGTCCTCTCAAATCTGATCCTTCCCGTGAAAACTTTGTCCAACACTCCAAGTATACAAATTGCTTCTTTTATCGTGAGAATGCCTGTCATTTCATCCTCGAGTACCATTTTTTTTAATGCCCGTACTTCATAGGTATCCTTGAGGTTCTTGCTGTTTGGTGATGAAAATTTTACATCTGATACAATCAAGTCCAAACTTTTGTTAGACCCAGATTTTAACCAGTCCGATTGTCTTGTAGTAAAACGTCAAAAGTTGTAATTACTTGTGCCACATTATTTTTTCTAGTTCTTTTAAATTAAATACATTCATCTTACGCATGTAAAATCCTGCAGAAAATCTCAGAACGATTATATATAAAATTCATACATCCGACTTAGTGCTAGGGTACTGATCCAATGGCGTATTTTGAATACAATACTACATATCACTTTGTTGAACACGTGGTCTATATTGGCTGAACATGTATTTTGTTGTTACAGCAAAAAAAAAGAAACAAGAAATAAATTCTGAATTAGCAGCCTGCTTCGACATTAGGGTATTTGTGTGTGTATATATAATGTATAGGATTGACAGAAGAAACACAAGTGATATTACCTTTCAATAAAAAATTTACAACGAGATGTAAAACAGCCAAATAATGAAGCGTTCTATGACTTGTCTGCTATACTACAACAACCTAGATTATGAAGACTACAAGGTGGCTTGGGAAAATCTAAATTTGTCGGACTGGCCTGACTTGAATTTCAATGAATGGGGAGGAGGGGGTGGTGGAGGAGGGGAATGGGGAGGAGGGGGCCGGGATGGTGGGGGTTGAGGGAGAGGCATTTTGCTCTTTTGGGCATTGAACTCCATGGTAGATCTATTTTAAATAACATAACTAAACTATGATAAGAAACTAGTTAAAGTCAAATATCTTACCGAGTGTTGGAATCATAGATCTCTTACTCCTATAGAGAGGCTAGGTAGAATTTAATCTGTATTGGTCTCGCTGTTCAACCACCTAATTTAGCATTATGCAATTCTGGCGATGTTTTTTTTATCAAAAAGCTGACTCAGTTTTTTCCAACATTTATTGGAAAGGTAAAATTGAAGAAATTCAGAAAGATTTAATTGTAAGATTGAAGGAAGTTTGAAAATTGTTCGTGTTAAAATATATAGCGAAGCGCCACAGATTGGGTGGATCAGGGGGGTATTTAGATCAAATGGAAAAATTACAATTTTGTAAAAAAAAAAAAAATAAAAATTATAATAATGTTTTTTGTCTAAATGTGGAGATGAAGATGTGCACCTAGCAAAAAGCAAAAAAATAAACGTCAGCACTGTTTTCCTTTGAAGATGTATAACAGACTTGGTATAATCTTGAGATAATCGACAAATTTGTTAGAGATGATAACAGAGAGTCGATATTGAAAACACCTCTGTGGTAAATAAGAATTTTGTTTAACATACCAATTTTCTATAAGAATGGTTTAGTATAGAAGTGAGTGTAGTCGATGATTTAGTAAAAGATAAGTTTTTCCTTCTATAATTTTGATAAGGTCAAAAGGTCATAGGACTTGTATTGTTTACTCCTGGAAGTGAGATAAGCATAACATTACAACACAGATGAGGGGAATATCTTCGAATAAAATGGAGAGAAATGTGGACAAAATACAGTATTCCTTTCCGCTCAACTGAAAAAAATCATTGGCTACAATTTAGGATGTGTCACTATATTCTAACGACCAACTCGTCTGTTTTGTCGAACAGAGTAAGGGAGACAACCGTGTGTAAGTTATGGAAATGTTTTGAAATTTGATTTTTTTTTTAAATGGACTAACAATTACATTCTCGGTGAACAAACAATTTTATTTGGTTTGGTAAGCAATGTATTTGAGGAAGAATTCTCTCTGTATTGAAAAAAAACTCTCTTTTGAAAAAATATGTAAGTGGAAAAATAAGAAAAAACCAAGCAGTAAAAATTGAGTGATAGTTTCGCACACATCGAAAGGAGACAGTAAATGGAGGCATTCTGAAAGTCTAGAACACACCACAAGGTGATAAAATTTATATGTGGAATAAATACTACATCGTTAACAAATCTGTTGTAGAATAGTCATAACAAACTAAATAACAATCAAACTCTCCGTGTAGCCATTTTATTTTTATTTGTAATTCAGATATGTGAAGACGAACGAAACGCACTTGGTATGGCCTTTTGGACTGTGATTTTCGTATTTGCGACCACGTTTTGGACAAGGGAGGTAACTTCATACACGACATGTACAAACGAGACACAAAACTTCCATGGCTACACATACGTGATCGACAGAGTGACATCAGAAAAAATGTGGTCCCACTGTAAGTTCCCGAATCCCAGATTTGACGCCTTGCTCTGTGGAATAGATGGGTCAACTTCCCAACACTACGTGTGTGATCCCGACAGACTTATTACGTCACAAGGTACGTCATTGATTACGTCACAAAATGTAAATGTTGTAATAGCCTGGGTTTCATCTGCTTCCATCACACTAGAGACATTTTGACGGACAGATGCCTGGCCCCACTTGTATAAAACTTCTCAACTTGAGATTCCCTCAAGCCCAGATTTTCCTCAGCTAATAGCTCCTTAAAAATATCTTGTATGAAAATTCCTCAAGGAATTTCAGGACATCCTAGCCGATGCCTTCCTCCTGTTCCTTGAGAAAAGTTTATACAAGCCGTTTTTACATTATATTGTAAAAAGGAGATACCGGCTACTGATCTATATGGAAACAAACATTTTCATTGGAAATCGTGTAATGATATCGAAGTCATTTTGTAACGTCAAGTTTGAGGAAATCTCAGTATTAATGTCAAAAGTAGTGCGGTTTGTGATTGTTTTATACAAGTGGGGCCTGGTGTGATATTCGTCTAAATGTGTTGTATCTTTTGTAGAGGCAAAAGGACACTTGGGCTATTTTTCTTGTCCGTTCAGAATATCTTCCACTGCATGTATGATGTCTTCATCTGACCGAAAGTTGGTACCGGAAAATTACTTTTTTTTTTCAATTTCGGAAATAGATGAAAGTCTGACGGAGAGAGATCAGGCGAATACGATGGATGCTCAATAGATTTAAAGTCATAAACATTAATGGTAGCCATGACAATGACAGACTAGGGAACAGGAGGCATTGTCCTTTTACTGAGTTTGCCGCGGCGCTCGAGTTTAATATTTTCTGTTAGTTTCCTAAGAAGTGATGTACAATATGTGCCATTGATTGAGTGTCCCTTTTGTAGATAATCTACCATCTGACTACCATCAGCATTTCAGAAACCCTAGGACATAACCTTTCTAGCTGATGGAACAGTATTTGCCTTCTTTGGCAGGGTTGAACTAGGGTGTTTCCATTGCTTAGTCTGTCTTTTTGGGTGGAATAAAAAACAATCGGGATCTGCCTCTAAAAGGTTATGATAAGCACGCGATTGCGTCCGCCTGTCTTAGGTACCAAGCGGGCGTCATCCCCAAGGCTCTGCTTGCCACGCTTAAATTCCTCCACCCATCTTTTCACTTTTCAGGTGCTATACCTTTTTTATGCAAATATTGAATCACTGCTCTTTCAGCGATTTTGTCCATTTTGCAAAAGTCAGCCCTCGTATATACACAGGGCGGTCACAGTCTAATCTTGTGAGCAGGATCATGTCCGCATGTTCTTGGCCTGGCCGTCATATTATCCTTGCAGAGTAGGTACTGAAGTAATATCTGGAACCTGTTCCTAGTCATCACAATAGTCAAACTTGGTATATTGAGGAGTCACCTGTTGGTTACTCGTTCCAATATCATGATTCAACATGCGGTTTCTTTACCAGTCCTGTTGACAGATAGAGACATATTAAGACAGACGTTTCAGCGGAAATGGTATCCGTCCATTGATTCGATCTTGACCTGGGTCTAAAATCTGCACCTTCCATCTTCTGCACAACATATTTGCTGGTTTCTAAAACTAAAACACCAATAAGATAATCGCCTGCAACTGCAGTTATAATCAGATCAAATTAAAGCAATGGGGAAGATATCCTGGATGTGTTGGGTTTTTCGAGTTGCATTGCTCTTCAAATTGAATGGCACGGTAAGGGCACTTGGTACTCGTCTGTTCTTGCAACGTCCATATTCTTTAATGAATCCTTGCCGCCTGTGGTTGGTCGTCTTCGTCCTCACTACCTTCATATACTCGGACCTACTTCGATATCACTTTCGCTTCCAGAATCAATATCCATCTCTCGTGCCTATGGTAAAAACTGTGCCACGCCCTCATCACGTGATGTCATAAACTACAAAATTATAATCCAAAATCCCTTTCGAATTTCACAGCCTACTTACTCTGCTTAGAGTGCAACTTCGATTTTCAAATAACTAAGACGGTCAAAGGGCATCACTGAAGTGTGTCCTGACCATTTCATGGTTGGAAAATAAATTGTGGAAAAAAAATTATCGTATCAATGACGTCGGAAAACCTAACCAACCAATCACAAGCAACCAAGTGAACAGTGTCTTTAATAAGATATTCAAATCTGACTTCAATTTTTGAGAAATATTTAATTTTAAGACGGTAAGAAAGACAGAACGATAATCAGTCAGGTTTTAAGTTCTAGTATGAAATTTCTAACGGAAAATTGGGGACAAATACCATTATTTTCACTAATGTGTTATTGTTCAGATACTACAGCTTCGAAATAATTCACCCCAGATTGGTACAGAATATCTCAGTGTGATTAAAATGAAAGAAAAGTTTTATCAGTGTTGTTATCTGTCTTGCAAAACCTTGATTTATTCCATATAATATTTCCCGTACTACCATCAAAGTTTTTTTTGTATTCAGTAGAATATTTGTCAGATGAATGCTTACTTTGTACAATGACATCTTGTTGCACTCAATTGCCGTGTCTGAGTGTAGAAAAAAGTCTGATTTTCTACGGCACCAAAAGTTAGAAGGGGAATAACTCTTCATGACATACAGAATATTAATGACTATACAGACAGATAACTCGAGAACTGTTATAATTCGCAGCTACCCATATATCTACTAAATATATTACGGTTTTATTGGCTTCAACGAAAGTTTTTTTTTGTTCATATAGATATGCGTCTGAGATTTCAATTCTAAAATGACGTAATATTGTGAACATAAAGACTGCCTGATAGATGTCTAACCATTTAAATGTGTTTTTATCAGGTATGTTCACTCGCGTGGAATAACATGCGAAATACAGGTAATATTTTGATAACTCAACGTTTGGAAAAGCGCCAAACGTGATCAAAAGCAATTACCAGCAGGCTAAAGTAATGTTTTTTATTCAGCAATTTAAAATATTACACACATATACATAACGTATGGGATGTGATAGCAACTTGAAAGTTAACTGGTTGATATCCCTGTATGATATTACCTACCTTCATCAAAAACAGTAAAACCAGAATATGCTGTGACTTGAAAGTTAATTTGTGGGGCTATCTTATTGTGTGTGTGGATTTCCTGAAGAATCACTATATACCAGTATTAGCCGTAAATAAAGACTATATTATGTTATATTCCACACCCATATTATGCTATACACCAGTATTAGCCGTAAATAAAGACTATATTATGCTATATTCCAGTTCTGGCTGTAGATACACCCATATTATGCTATATTCCAGTTCTGGCTGTAGATACACCCATTTTATGCTATATTCCAGTATTGGCCGTAAATAATAACTATACTTATGTTATATTCCAGTTCTGGCTGTACATACACCCATATTATGCTATATTCCAATTCTGGCTGTAGATACACCCATATTATGCTATATTCCAGTTCTGGCTGTAGATACACCCATATTATGTTATATTCCAGTTCTGGCTGTAGATACACCAATATTATGCCATATTCCATTTCTGGCTGTACATACACCCATATTATGTTATATTCCACACCAATATTATGCCATATTCCAGTTCTGATTGTACATACACCCCTATTATGCTATATTCCAGTTCTGATTGTACATACACTCATATTATGCTATATTCCAGTTCTGGCTGTACATACACCCATATTATGCTATATTCCAGTTCTGGCTGTAGATACACCCATATTATGCTATATTCCACACCCATATCATGCCATATTCCAGTTCTGGCTGTACATACACTCATATTATGCTATATTACAGTTCTGGCTGTAGATACACCCATATTATGCTATATTCCAGTTCTAGCCGTTGATAAAGCACTGAAGACTATACAAGAACAGACATCTACACAGTGTACAGCTCCCAATGGGGAAGTCCAGAGCTTCATCGTTGCTATGGCGCTCATCAATCGAATGCGCATCCCAGATTTCAGCGATGTGAATATGTAAGTCCCATGACCAGTCAATTGAATATGTATCCTTGAATATATTTCATTAATTGCTGAAAAAAAACTTTAAGTGGCATGGCTGAATCTTTTGAAGTTGGAAATTTAGTTTTCTTCAATAAACATAAATGCAATACATATAATTGATGAGGGGTGATATTTTTGTTACAGTTGTATCAACGACTGTGGTCAAATTCAACCTGCAGTCAATTCCTTATCAGCGGAAATAAACACAGCACAAAAGGACACCCTAATGGAAAACTTCGCCAGTTTTCTCAGGGCAGAGTGGGGTATGGGGGCGTGCGGAAATGACGTCATTATCCTCTACTGTCAGGAATTCGATCTTGTAAGAGATATTAACGTCACCTTGAAGTATTATTTGTAGCGAGGTTAGGCATTAGAGTTACCTCCCATTTGATCATTATCTAGTCACAGATTTGACCACTGTTTTCCAGAGCTAATGTATTTCAGGGAAAAACACTGGGGTTCGTATTCTGCATATAGTACATGGAGGACACGGAGATTCTAATAACACTTCTATTGATAAGTTCGATTCAAATCTGAACAAATATATCTTTCTTTAATTTGTTTGTATGTGTATATTTTTTCACTTCAGTATTAAATGTAATTCGATTTGTTTTTTTTAAATACAAACTTCACTTTTGCTAGGCTTGAGTCAAAGGTAACGAAAAAGACCAAGCTTAAGGCGGATTTTGCTGTGTTTTTGTAACACAAGAATTCTGTATTCAATTTCATCATAAATTTTCATTTCTTCTTGTGAAAATAGTTCTGCCTGAAAAAAAATGACTAACTGAAATTTCTGTAATATTGATCTAACCGAAAAGTACCTTCGAAAAAGCTTTTCCTGTGATGGTAACTTTCAAATACATCCTAAGGCAGGAAACGCAATCGATGTCTGTCATTGTAAGATTAATCAATCTGTAGATAATCAGACTCAGGAGTATGGTTCCTGACCCAGGGCAGGCTTGTTTTTTTCAGACCTTTTAACCTCAAGTGAATGTTTAAGGTGTATGGTTCATCCCTTACCCAGGTTTGTTTCTCTCAGAAATCCGAGACCACTGATCATCCTGTTGTTGTTGCCCTTGAGAAGACACTTTACCAAAATTAATTTGTATACGTTGCGGCGGACATCCCGTATGTTGTTCAGTGATGTTATCACCAGACACTATAAACAGACCCTGCTGACAGGACGAGATTCCGACAACCATTCCGCATGTCCATAGCCACTAGTACTAGCAATGGATCCTATTTATCATGTCTTATCTTAGAACTGTACCTTCAAATGTCAGCAACAATATCGGTCATCATTACGTCAAATATTATCATTTTGTGGTATATGTACGCTTTTGTCTGATAATAACAATTTCAAATATTAAGTCAATTTGGCGCATTTTCCTACATAAACCTGTCCTGACATCATATATATACTCATCAAATAAAGTTCTGTTATGGCATATATTATGACGTCACAAAACGAGATATTGAATTAGATTGTCACAAATTTAGATTTTTTCTGTCAAATGACTCGCATTTTTTAACGAATATTTTGCAAAATTATCTGCGTTTTTGTCAGTTATATGATCAACAGGGACGTATAATCATTTTCTTGTTATCTTAGAGTTTTGGAAATCGCCAGGAATTTTCATTTTACATCGCGAATGGCTTGGTAAAATAAAATCAAAGACTCATATCCAGATTTTCTTGACGTGGTATTATCCATGTCGTCATACCGTTGTAGTGACATCGTGAAAAGCTGATAATAAAAATGTTTTTAAAATGCAAAACAAATACCAACCGTAATAAGAAATTTTATAAACGCAGCTTTATACCTAAACTAAAGTATCCTGTTGGTTTCTAACACTCTCTTGACATTTATGTATTTAAATAGACGAATTTCATTATCATTTGAAATGAACACAATGAATATTCATACGTCATAAAGATTAGCATACATTATAATGTATCTCTGTTTATGATCTAATGAATATATTCAGACTTTAACGTAAGTAAAACAAAAATCATGATATGACCTCCACAATGACCCTTGTCTTTGACCTCCACAATCACCCTTGTCTTTGACCTCCACAATCACCCTTGTCTCAACAATGACCTTTGTATATGTTTCAGTTGTACGTTTCCGCAGGGTATGGAGCCAGCAATTTTATCAACTCCGCTGTGATCTCAGATATTTCATCTACATTCGCATCTTATAAAGCCGGGGGTAATATCGCTGACGCTCTACTTGTCATCTCGGAAAAACTCCGCGTCACACTGCGGAGCGTTACACCAGCTTACATCCTTCTAATCCTCAACATGATCGGACTTGTAGTGTTAGCAATTGTTCTCTTCATTTTCCTGTATCTACGTGACCTTGAGTATAACGTTTGGGGTCGCAATGGCGTATGGCGCGTGCTAGGAGAAGTGGTTTATTGGCTGTCCGGAGCGTGGATCATTCACGGTATTCTGTACGTCGTAGTCTTTTCGTCAGTTAAGGCGCCATATGCCGGAATTCTTGCTGCCCTCATTGCTGGGGCTATAATGGTAGCCATATTTGTGTACGAAGACACGCTTTCCCATGACGCATTGGTGGCCTTGTCATCAAATGCGACAATATAGATAGAAACCCTGATAGAACAGACACCCTACTTAATGCTCTAGCATGACCAGGTTGATGTTTCCTGAAACCACTTGGAGTTCGTTAATCTGGATTCTAATACTGCTGCCAAAGACGACCCCGTCAAAGTTGTATACAAAGTTATCGTAGTATTATTCTTAGCTCGAGTACTGAAGATCATATATATATAGAGATTTATAGACCCAAACGCCCGAAACTATTTAAAATATTTGCGTTTTAGTAAAAATGATATGCACATATTCGTTAGTCCGAACTCGGGTAAACATGTGAAAGTATTAACCCTGAAAGTCCGGAGTTTTGTTACTTCGGACTCCAGTAATCCGTATAAAGGACTCCTTTGTCCGGACTCCTGTAGATAAGCGTACAGGTTACTAAGTAATCTCTCCTCCTATCCTAATTACGGCAATTACGTTTTCGCTTCTCCGAATGCCGGTAACCAAGTAACCCCTTTATACGAATACTAATACCTAAGTCCTGAGTCGCCACCTCTTTAGACCGGATTCCGGTAGTCCTATCATTTACATGTAGGAGTTGCCCAACTTGCCATGAAAAGCTGTAATGAATATACATTGTTGTGTATCTTTAACCCGTTTTTGTTGTTAGTTTCTATGCATAGTGCTGGACGCTGTCAATTAAATATTTCATAAAAATAACACGATTTTTCTTCTTGTTTATGTGTTTGTAAATTTCAGCTATCTATTGACATTGCGTCATTAGATTATTTTTTCTAGTGACTTAAACGCATCCAAACACGGAGACAAGAGAGCTAGAAAATAGTACACTTGTAACACAATGGCCTTATTACGTAATGATTACATGATCATTACATGATCCTGTTTCATTACTATTTCAAGATATGAATTTTATATTATATATATTAGTGCGACATAATCATGTTTTCCTGTAGTAGCGTAAACAATGTTAATACTGTGTGTATCGTACATTAAGGGTAATGGGTTAACTGGACGATAATGGACCATGGAGATGACACAGGCTGATAAAATAAATGGGTAGGAAGAATGAACGTACGTGGCCGTTGGTCAAGAGCCAAATAGAGTACCATTTCAAGATGGTCAAAGTATCAATTAATACAAATCCATTAAGTTCAATTTACACAATTTGATTGTATAAATACAGGTCAGCCGACCTGGGGCAGAACAGGTGTGTTATGCTGGGATGTTGTGGGCAAAATATCAATTAATACAAATCCATTAAGTTCAATAAAAGCACAATTTGATTGTATGGGGCAGGTCGGAGAACCTTTACTGACGCCAACCTGCGGTCTCCGGCTACTCACATTATATAAATATAAACTTTATTTGTTTTACAACAATTGCGAAACAAGTTATTTAAACTTATACTAATCACTCTTGTTGGCCCGGATGTAAGTGCGCGAGGGGCCTTGTGCGGAGGCAGTCGGAGTACCCGGGGAAAACCCACGCGGTCGGGCAGGTGACCCCTTACCTTTTCACGTCCGTTCCGGGAATCGAACCCCGGTCGGCTAGGTGAAAGGCGAGTGCGTTAACACTGCGCCACCCGACCACCCGACTACTCACATTCGGCCATATGAAACCTAAAATGTTATAGGAACTTTCGAACCTTTCGCCAAGAAGATTACTTAGTTATACACCAGTGTGACGGGTCGTCGGTCCACTGTTTTACTCTAGTTGTAACGTATCCTGTTGTTATTCTCGTGGAGCCATACCTGGTCAATTATGTTAAATAAAACTGCGAACCTTTGGAACCTGGGTTGTTGAACTTTTGTCATTTCAATACGCATATGAACACCTGAAGTGTTATAATTGGCTGGACATGCTCTCCACCATGGAGACATTAACTGGTCACGGTTTAATTGTAGATCAGTAGAAGGCACTTTCCCTATCAGAATTAGATTATAATTGCTTTAGGATAAACTGTAAGATCACAGCAAATAGAGTCAGTCCTGGTGTGGCCGTGGAAGGAGTAACTTGTTAAGCTCGATACTCAGGCCATACATGTTATCATTGTTGTAACTTGTGTTAATACTCAACATTTGTACTTGAGAACGGTTGTTGCTGGTCTTTTGTATAATAACATAAGGATAGTACAACATAGGGGGATGTTAATAGTGAAATTTGTCACTCAAGTGTAGAACATAATTTGTGTTAAATCTTAATGTGACCGGCTGGCTTATCAGACAGACAGTTTAATTGCGGTCACCTTAGTGTCAGAATCATGCCGTGAAACATTGGCTGGACATGCTCTCCACCATGGAGACATTAACTGGTCACGGTTTAATTGTCGATCAGTAGAAGACACTTTCCCTATCAGAATTAGATTATAATTGCTTTAGGATAAACTGTAAGATCACAGCAAATAGAGTCAGTCCTGGTGTGGCCGTGGAAGGAGTAACTTGTTAAGCTCGATACTCAGGCCATACATGTTATCATTGTTGTAACTTGTGTTAATACTCAACATTTGTACTTGAGAACGGTTGTTGCTGGTCTTTTGTATAACATAAGGATAGTACAACATAGAGGGGTAACAGACAGCAGCTTCTGTTTATCTGCTCTGACCACTGGCAGTCAGCCAGCACTTCCTTGGCAGCGTCCAAACATCTCCATGGACGTTAAATTCATCAAACAGCAAAACAACTACTGTAAGGGTATCATCAGGGACGTCCCTGGTGTCATTAATTTTGGGAGTAAACATACTCGGGAAATACACATCGCTGGACACACGATGTCATTTCGATACCTCTCTTGGATATTAACGGACAGTTCGCCATATATAAAGTGAAGTCACAGGCCACGGCTCCAATAAAGTGAAGTCACGGGACCAATAAAGTGATGTGGTGTCCGATAAAGTGTAGTGGGTGAACTTCTTTGTTGAGAATGAAGAGTAGTGCAGTGTTGAGTGGAGATGAAGAAATCCAAACGCTGTTCAGGTTGATGTAAATTTATTGTGTGTAGACATGGAGAGGTGGTACACTCGCATGCCTTCAGGAACCGATTCGACGACTGGCTATTTTGTTGTTGGCCTTCGTGAGGAACCGACGTACGTCGACGACGTGGACTGGCTAGAAACCTAGTCGTATTTATACTAAAAGTCGTAGACATTGATAATCTAATATTACATATTTGCTGACAAGAAGTGGATAACACATGAGTTATTTACATGGTCTAATGCACACACATAGTGGTAGATTAGGTGGTTTACGACAAGCTAAGGTTTTGCTGACCTGTCCTGCTAGACGGTATTGGTAAGCTTATGTAATTAACCCGGGAGCGAATGTATACTGGACATGTGTGATAGATTATTAACAGAAAGTATGTTCTGGCTTCTGGACAACACGTCTGACTTATGTCTAGTAGAATACAGTTTTGGATAGTTTAATTTAACTTACATATTAACTTTTAATAGTTCATATACCACGTTCATAATTTGCCTTTGCCAAGTCCGTCAATAAATGCAAGTAATAAGGAGAGTTTGGGAATGGTAGCTTACTTTGATCTGGAATACTCTGCGTTTGCCATGAATATCGAGCATACAAAATTTGCTTTGTTAAAACCTGAGGAAGTGCAGCAATGTTCGAATCCCTCTGTGAAATTTTGTAGTATTGGGAGTCCAGTTTATCCTACTAATTTAAGCAATTTATGTGTAATAAGTTTATTCATGCGGGACCCAACAAAGATAAAAGTTAATTGTCGTACGTTTGTGAAACCAAACACATTGTTACCTATGGCAGAGTACCTTGCTGAGGGTACTTGGGTGGAAGCCACCCAATTTGAGGTACGATTCGCTATTTCATGTATTAAAGCAGGGACAAGCACTATAACCCATCAGTCCACCGAAATAGTACAGCTACCCCTGGGGATCCTAAATTTGAAAATGTTATGTTAAGCTAAAAGCGATTATTTAACGTTACTACCCTACTTTCATCAAGCTAGCCATTACAGACCGAAAGAACCTGTTAGTGACATATTTATTCTAATCTATCGAGTAACGCCTTATGGCAACCTTTTCATCGGGCTCTACCTAACTTCACTAGCACTAAAGTACCACAGGGTTAAAAAAAAACATAAAACAGATGCCTATGGGTAATCTGATCAGTCGTTTCCGTGGCTTACGTCAGGTTACACCTGAGAAAGAGTTTCCGATGTGGATATTGGCCACCGTCGGTACTGTTGTAGTTATATTGGGGGTAGGTCTTATCATAAACTGTAAATTTGGGAAATACATGTTAAGTTGTAGAAAGTACTGGTTAGCCAAAGTAAGGTCCGGCCGAAGTGGAGCAAACTCTTCACCTGGTCACCAGATGGCGACACAACGTTCACCAACGGGACCATCTGTCACCCCACTCCTAGCGACAGCACCTACTGCCCCGGATGCAGCGGAGATCGGTGAATCTCAAAGCATTTCCATGGCTGCATCGACAACGTCCATGAGAGGACGGGAACAGCTTTATCCGACCACGTTCCTGTACAAGCCGATGAGACTGGTTAGGATGGATAACCTTAGCCAATACCAACAGGCATCCGAGACCAGGGCTCTGGTTACGACTTACGGCCTGGAACACTGGTAAGCTGATTTGGAGGGACCTTCGAACTGTTTAATTAAAATGCAGGAGACCTGACCCTGCGGTGTCCTAGAATGAGGACACGGACACTAACGTTGTTTACTGATCGATTGTTGTGACTTTATAGATGTGCGCGGTTGTGACTTTCCCTGAACAAGCTTGTGCTGCGTGACTTTATAGAAGTGCGCGGTTGTGACTTTCCCGGAACAAGCCTGTGCTGTGTGACATTAACTTTATGTAACATTATCCAAAAGTATATACAGTGTGATTAATGGTTAATATAATTGTAGCTCAATGTTCGGTGAATTGCATCTAGGCTAGATTTGTTAAGTCTCGTTTTTAGGATTTTTCTTCTTGAAATAATAATCTTGGTGGGGGAGTAATGTAACACAACAGTGCATAAAAGAGCATGTACTTCAATTA